ATGGATTAAGACTAACCTCAAAGTGCTTATTTCCAGGAGGGACCCCAGTGTAGTGCTATCAGACACATGCAACCTTAAATCCACACACACACGTTTGTATTCATATGTTTGTGGGGACCATCCATTAGTGTCTATGGGAAAATCCCTAATCCCAACAATGACAAACTTCACCCCTACCCTGCCCTAACCATAAGTAACCAAACAAAATACAAGCATTTAGGCATTTTTATTTCATTATTTATTTAGATTGTAGTCACAGAGTTTTAGAAAATTGCGTTTCACCTTGTGGAGACCAAAAAATGTACCCCACAACATCAAAATAAAAACCTGTTATCACTGAATGTCCCCACAATGTGATATGTACAACACACACACACACACACACACACACACACACACACACTACAGGTGATTTAGAAATGCTGATTAGCCTACATGCTGGAAGAGACAGGAGTACCCAAAAAATAACCAAGTAGGAATAAGTTAGTTGGATAAAAACACAGCTAAGCAATTAGACTAAAACTAAATTATAATGTGCAATGATTAAAATGTGTGATGGGTGACGGGAGAGCGGCCATGTCGGCTCACCACTTTGCGCGACTCCTCCTGAATGGCGCCGTCCAGGCCGAGCTGCCTCATGCCCACCTTGTCCAGCGCGCTGACGGCGATGGCGGCCAGGAAGCCCAACACGCAAAGGAAGGTGCCTGGAGGAATGGGCGTATTAGCACAAAGCAGAAGCTGCAGTCTTCACGCTACAGGGCTCATCATACTCAGTGTTTACAAAAGGCGTTTGCCAGCTTGGAAATGCTGCACAGTCAAAGGTAGCCAGAAGAACTAAAGCAGATCAAAAACCTAGGCTTCACTAGGCTATGTACAAAAAAAGAGGGAGAAACCGACCAGCAGAGGGTGCTGCTGTCACAGAAAGCCCTGCAGCACTAAGACACTGCAGTGGAGAGACCTTTGCTTGCACCATCCACATTGTTTAAATAATTATGGTAAAATTAGGCCCCACAGTACGGCCATTACTCACAGTTGGTGGCATTTCATTAAAACATGCACTTAGATATTTTAAAAACTAGGTTACTATAATTGCATATCGTTTTCTAATAAGTGCTAGTGATCGTCTCACAAAATCTTTATCTAGTTGTGCACAGTCCCTTAACTGCACGCCCCCCAAAATCACAAACAAACAGAAAATCCTCAACTGCTCACAGCCATTGTCTGGAGTCATAAGTGGCAGAACTCACCCCCCCACAGCGTCCACTGCATCCCGTATTCTGACTCAAACCTCTGGGTGCAAAAGAAATTAAGGACGGAGCCCAAGCGGGAGAAGGCCAGGGTCAGACCAAAAGCCAGGGCAAGCTCCTTTCCTTTGAACCAGAAGGCCGTGATTCGATTCTGCACAACTGAAACGAGGCACGAATGCAGCTTTTTACAGCACTATTCATTCAGTGTACAAGTGTCATTATGTATAAATAGCATAACATACACACTGTATCATACGACTATGTTTAACTCTACTACTAACATTGTGCAAAGCTTAATGTAACAATGATACCTGTAATACTACAAAGCCGTTTTAGAACAAATAAATATTCTGCTATATTGTACAAATATATGAGCACAATTTATCTTCTTGGGATGTTTTATTGATTTGTGGTGCATAATAATGTTATGAAACAGCCTAAAACATGCAAAAGTAGCTATTTTAACAGAACATGTACAAGAGTTTGAGATGTAGTAGTTAAAAAATTATCGTACTTTTGAACAAGCAGTGACTGAAGGATGATCTATGAATGAAAGATTTGTGACTAAGCATTTATCTTTCATTAAGGATATTAATGAGACTGGTTTCACTTAAACATTGTAAAGACCTGATCAGTTTTGGCCAAGCGAGCCTTCTGACCATAGAACACGGCGTATGTGGTGAGGAGGCCTCACTGGTGCCCCTTACTGGTCAGCGAGCCGTTGCCGGATCCGAAGACAAGGCGGCCTGTGAGCATGAGGGGTAGCAGGTAGCTGGTGCCCTTGAAATGTGAGCCCAGTGCGAAAATGGTAGATCCCAAGACAGTCAGGAAGGAGAAGAGGAAGACGCCAACTGCAGCAGAGTCAGCAACAGTGAGGCCACACAGGTTAGTGCCTCCATGCATTTTTAAAAGCGCAAAAGACCCATCAGCTGCACTACAATAAATCAGAGTGCTACTACCATTAGACATATATAAGAATATGTATATTAATATGCTTACAGATAATTCATCATTGTTGCTCTTGGTTTTCTGCTACAGCATACTCTTGTTGACATTTACATTCATAGATAATGGAGATAAAATGTACCAACGAGTTTTTTCTAGAATTAAACTCAACAAAACTTCAGCTGCCACATTTGACATTGACATCGTCTGAGTTAATTTAATATCCACATATATGGTGATAAATACGAATGCATCCATAAGCAAGAGACTTACATCGATTTCCTAACTTGTCTATGAGGAAACCAGCCATGATGACCACCAATGCGTTTCTGAAAGGCAGGAAGGGTACTTTTATTTATTACACTGTGAAGTCAATCCAGAGAATAGTGACACTACACCTTTCTAGTCCTGTGCTTTTAAAACCAAGGTGACAGCACACAGGTCCACTCACGTCCAGGCGTAGACTGCATATAGGAGGTTATACTCCTGGGGGGTCATCCCCAACCCCTCCACACACTCGCCTGTCCCATTGGGTGCCGTCCCATTCTGTACTGTTGCATTGGGACACGTCAGGTTCTAGGACACGAGAGTGCTCTTATTATAATACAAATCTCATTTCCTCTATACAGCCTCATTGGGCTGTTTCAATCCCAGAAAGTCCCACTTGGCCACCACACTCACCCCTTGAAACTGATCTTGAAGTACACTAGGAATGTCGAAGCAGAAGTATGAGCCGAAGGTGAGCATGCAGTTGAAGAACAGCACTACGAAGCGGTAGAAGGCTGCGAGGCAAAACATCCGAAAAGAAACCTTACAGACATCCAAAAATCTGCACGCATGAACTTAAGTAATGTATAAAAACCCTATCGAACAGACGTTGGCTATCGGACACTCCATTCACTCGCTACAGTTGGGTTATGATATTCCAATTAGTTGAATTAAAACAAATTTCACAGCACATTCCACTTTAAAATGTAGAAGCGTATTAACTTGGGTTTATGAAAGATATTCAAAGAATGGGGAGGAGGAAAAGAAGCAATTATTGTGTCTTAATAAATAATCGTAATTAATTACCCCTTATGGTGTTTTTTTTGCAAAGTTTAAGCAACAAGACAAACGGAGACATTTAACTTCTCAGGTTCAGCGAGAAGGAAAACTGAGCCCATTCATGTGCAAACAAGGATGATCAAATTTAGTGAACCACATATCATAGGTCCAAATATTAATTCTGTTTTGCTATAACTAACTGTCAGTGTAATAAACACAATTATGCAGACTATGCATGCAAACGTAATTGTGCAACCAAACAAGTTAAGCTGTTTTGCAAAAACATACACACAAACAAGCTTCATTAAAAATAAACGTTACTACCTTTTTCTGCCGGTTTCCCCATATTTAATACAGTTAGGGTCTGACAATAACTGATGTTTAAAAATCCATTTTTCCTCTCTGTTTATGTATTCCGCGAGAGACCTGCCCGTTCACGTGCTCACGCTACGGCGTTACGTCACACGCAAAGCTCGACGTTACAGTTGAGATTTAATTAGTTTGACGTATTGTAATGAAGACATGGATTAGTGTTTATGTAATGATAGAAAGTACAATTTAAAATGTAAATACTTCAAACGTAAATCGGACGTCAGTTACTGATATGTAACCTTCCTGGCCAGTGGGAAGTAGATATACTCTGCACTTTTATGAATGAGCGTGTTTAGCATTTACCACTGTTTTGAAAGCAGGGCAGTAATGTTACCTTGTAACTTGACATTTTAAACATAGATAATGAAAAAGAAAGAACGTCCCACATCAGTCATCTATTTACATGTGACCGCTTACCGAATCAATTATATGTTGTATTCAATTGGATTTGATTAGAGTTTTCTATCTTCAATGCAATTTTTTTTAATGACTTTACATTTACATATGTTTTTACATGAAGGACAATTTACCTTTGCGTTAACACCATTTCCTTAAATAATGACTCGTGTAATTATGGTCAACACTTAAATCGTTCAGTCAAATATAATAAACTTCATCTATCATCCATCCATCCACCACCTTTCCTGATATGGTTGTAGAGTGTCTGGACATCATCCCAAGTAAGGCAGGGCACGCATCTGGAGTACACCATGTGTGGGATTCATGCCCATACATGACACACATACACAAAGATGAGCAACTTAAAGGCACAAATTAGCCTGAATATCTGTCCCATACAAGGAAACCTGGAAAGCACAGAGAGGATATACACAACTCACGTACACAATTCATTGTAGCCTTAGTCAGTATTAAACAGCACAACGTGTTCTAAGGTGAACCTGCTGGCTGTGTACTCAATGATCCCCACTCCAGAGAATGCTGTAGCCCACCCTGCATTTAGAGAGCCATTTGTTCAATGCTCTCTGATATGACGAGATGCACTGGAGTTTAACGTCAGATGTGGTCAGTACAAGACTGCTGGAGCCTACTGCAGGAAGCATATACTAAGTATATATGACAGAATATCACAGTCACCAGCTGTTTGGATCATGGAGAAAAAAAAATCTGGTGCACCAGGAGGAAATCCACAGAAATACAACCAGAAGATACAGTTTCTGCACCAGTGAGCCAAGGGATTAGACCAGTAGCTGTTCAAAACCAACTATAGCCTGTAGAAAAACCCCTGGGGATCCTCGTCCTCAAAAAGTTAAATAAACATGGTGTTTTTAGAGTAACAAGCACTTAGTGCAAGCAGATGAATTAAAAGCACCGTTCTCCGTGCTCGTCCCCGTTTGCTCTGCCCGTGCTCGTTCCCGTTGCGCTAGTGTCGTGCGATGAAACCGTATGACGGCGCATCTGCAGAGGACCAACGGCGGAGCAGCATCATCAGCGGAGGCTGCACGGTGCGGTCGGCGTGACGTCGCGACGGCACCGCTATTTAACCGGAGAAGCTTCGGGGGCGCTCAGCAAGCACTGTATCGGGGAGGACAAGGCGTGAAAAGCACCATCACCATCACTACCAACAACAACAACAAGGGCTTTATAGGGGTCGGCGAATTTATCAGGGGGAGGACGGCGAGTTTGACTCCGCCTCACTGTTTTGAGTGTGTCAAATTTTTTGCTGGTCATCAGCCGGTGCGCCGCTCTTATTCTATAACTGCAGGTTTTATTTTACAGACGTTTCACTTAATGAATTAATCTCATCGATTACGCTGAAAGATGGACAGAAGCGAGCTGACCCTATTCCGTGTGGTGGAGGATTCAGGCGGAAAGGGATTATGGAGGTTTGCGTGAACTGCAGAGCTGCGGAGACTGGCAAGTGTTTCTGCTTTATATCCGTTTCAACAAAAAATATAAAATGATCTCTTTGCACATCTCGAATAAAATGCGAGTCGAGCTTTTTGAGGAATCAAAGGAAGAAAAACACTTGCGTTGCCTGCGAATCCCTTGGTGAACGAAGGTTTCATTCTTGTCATAATAATACTAATTACATCTTTTCTGATGTTTTAATAAACAAACAATATAAGAATACCAAAACAGAATACATCAAGAACTTGCTGGGATACAGTTACTGATAACAAACCAAGGTACCACTGGCAAGATGATGGAGCTCCAGATTGAGGAGGTGGTGTACCAGGATGACTATGGCTCCGGGTCAGTGGTGTCAGAGCGTGTGTCGGGCATGGCCAACAGCATCTACAAGGAGTTTGAGCGGCTCATCGACACCTATGATGAAGAGGTGGTCAAGGATCTGATGCCGCTGGTAGTGAACCTGCTGGAGAACCTGGACGCGGCACTTATAGAGAACCAGGAGCATGAGGTGGAACTGGAACTTCTCAAGGAGGACAACGAGCAGCTGCTTACCCACTACGAGCGGGAGAAGGCCCTGCGGAAGCAAGCCGAGGAGGTGCTGCTTTTCACATTGTATCTCTTTGCAGAGTCAGACGCTTGGCGTGTATCTTTGTAAGCAAGGGAGACTCTGTAATGTACTACACAGCATTCCTGTGCATGTCTGCCCCTTATGTTATTGATTAACAGTCATTCCTTATCTGCAGTATCAGTCTTGTTATTTCCCCGGGTCAGCATCCTCTCCATCTGTCATTCATCCATCCAACTTTCCATCATTAAGCTGCATATCCTGGTCAGGGTCGTGGGTCTCCCAGAATCACATTTTTTCATATGCGAACATTTCTTGCAGCTGTGCGTGACTCATCCCTCTAACAGAGATGCTGTCACAAAGCAGCTACTCTGATATTATTGTAAAGACAATCGATAAAAAAAAACACTCCTTTTGTTGTATGGTTCAGACACGTTAATCCAGGAATGGTGTTCAAATGCACCCTGTATCATCCGTCCTTTCATCTTCTAAGCACTTATATTCTCTAGGCTCGTGGGGGCTTTGTGTTGTGTGAGTTTTCACCCAAAGAAAGGCAGAGTTTCAGTTCAGGAGCAGTGTTTTTGATCCACGTTGTTCTTTCCCAGTGGTTTCACTTGTGTACCGATGGGGCTTTTTTGTGCATTCCCACAGTAATAGCAGCCTGTGCCAGCCACTCGCCACACTTCTCTCTTTTGCTCACAAGCCGGCGTACAAGCAGCTGTTGGTAATCTCTCACTGCGTAGCATTATTTGTGGGCTAATCCTCCCGTTCCAAGCAGGTGTGATTTTACAGCAGTTGGGAATATGAGGCTGTTGCTGGTTTAGGAGGCCTGAGGTCTTCCTGTCTGTCCTGTCAGGGTTTGTTTCGATAGGCATTTCCATTTAGATTTGCCTGTTGTATATATGCGTGAACAAGACTCATTGGCTCACCGCAATAGTAACTGAGGAGGGTGCGTCTCTATTAAAGGAAGCTTCAAAATGACACACAGAAATGATGTCTTTGAAGGTCTGTAAAGACACTGACTAAGATCTGTCTTAATTGCTGTCCTGGGCTTACTGGGTTAATTTGTGGCTTAGCTGGGAGCAGCCTTTTAACCAGAAACAGCCCTGGTAGGAAAGACACCAGCCGTAAATTTGGTAGGTGGTGAGAAGGTATAAGCTCTCCAAACAGTTTCTGACCTGGTTCCTGCGTGGCGTCGGAGGGAATGTGGCGCCTGGTACGGCAGAGCGCCCACGCTTCTTACAACAATGCCACACTGATTTCCCCCCAGCGTCCCTGGGACAGGGACCGAGGGGCAGGACGCTGATGCATTCCAGCTTATGCCCGGCATCACAGCCTCTCCTGCAGCCAGAACCCTAACCTTCACAGCTTCAGTACTGGAAGGTTTAATTCCAATATTTAAGATAGGACTTTTACAGGCTTTTGCTAAAATTGTATGACGCTTTTTCTGGTCTGTAAGCTACCATTAATCTTTTTCTGTGTCATTACTATTAATATGGTATCTTGATAACTGGCAAACCTAGCAAAGACTGAAAATTGATACATAAGTTGCACTTTCATTACACAACTTTGAAATTTTTGTTAAAGTGCAAGCTTTGTGTATTTCTTTGGACTGCGCAGTCTGTTAGTTTTATTTTATGAAAGAGATATTCCTCTCAGAGGTCTGATTGCCAGCTGATGTTCACGCTGTTGCCTTGCACATTGTGATTTCTTTCACATCAGTGATCTGTCGTTTCGATATCATTGCACTGGCCCTGCACTGTCACTGAGATGTGAGCTGTCTCAGGCCCCGTACACGTAATTACTCAGTTCACTGTTCACCGGGCATCTTTTTACTCATTCATTGCTAATATTTCTGGGCACTGCTAAGGAATAGCTCGCTCACCATAACCATTATGGCATAAACGGAATATTTTTGTATTTATGGAAATTTACATTAGCTAATTATTGTATAATCCAGTGTTTCCCAACCCAATCCTCAGGGACCTGCAGACAGTCCACATTTTTGCTCCATCCCAGCTCTCTGCTAGAAAGTCCACATTATTACTGGGAGCTGGGAGGGAGCAAAAACACTGTCTGCAGGTCGCCGAGGACCAGATTAGGAAACACTGTCCTGCAAGATATTCTTAATACATAACTATAGATACAGGTAAATGGCCCAGTTTTTCTGGACCCACTGGTTTCTGAAGGAGTATGCTATTTTTGTCGCAATTTTGTGTTGTTTTTTGGGCTCAGAGCAGGACCTCATGTGAAAACAAAATGATCGTTTGCTACTTTTTAAATATTTGCATGTTCCCTCCAGTCCATGCCAGCTTCTAGTAACCCATAAAAACTGTGTTTCTCCAGAATCTTCTGTCTGGGTCTTCAAGCATGTTTATTATTCATCAGTGTTTCAGGAGAACAACTGTCTAAACAAACTGCATAGGTCCTTACGGCCATTTAAGTTCTGAATATAGTGGAATGCCTTCATTTTATACGAGTTGTATCAGACAGTAAAAAAAAGACAGGTTTTACCATTTAGTTTTCTATCCTGCTAGATACATTGGAAACTGCAGAATTTTACAGCAGAATTTTATGCTGTATGTAGGGCAGCAACAATGACTTTAGCCCAAGAGCCTCCACCCCCTAAATTCGGCCCTGGATGGATGGGTGACTGATGGATGGAGTGTTGATTCCTGCTATTGATATTTATGTAGAGTATAAATCCACACACTCTTTAATAGGGCTGCCACTAACAGCTATTTTTCTATGGATTAATCTATCGACTATTTTACCAATTGGTCGATCAGTATAAACGAATTTTTCCTCCAGAAAATCAAACAGGCCGTTTAATTTTATTTTTTGACAACAACAAATTGTGTTTTTGCAGGGCTTTTCGGCATTATACTGATATTATATTCGCCCACAATTCGATAATCAAATTAGTAGTACTAGTATGCCTAAAATATTAAGACGCTTATAGTTACGCCCAGAAGTTAGTAATCTTCTTAAATTCGGCGTATCCTTATGCTTATAAACTCGGTTAGCGGAACGCCCAGTTGTATTGTTTTGATGAAACATGGAAGCGATAAGCACAGAAGTGGCGGTGAACCTAGACTTAGCAACTACAACAAAATATATTGTGGATAAACAAGGTAAAAAGATGTTTGTGGTGTGGAAGTACTGTTTGTTTTTTTCTTTTGTAAACATATTTTTATTTCAGTTCACGAATAATTTTCTTTTACTTACTAGTTTTCGTTTTCGTTCCAGTTTTACTTCACGATAATGACACTGTTCCAAACTCCCAAAAAGCCCAATGCGCGTCGAACACACACCGTCAATCCACATAGAATAAGCCCCAGATTTTAGCCTAAACATTTTCTCAAACACTTAATTATTCAATTGAGATTCTAATGTAGCAGGTAGACACCTTTATGTTAGTTCTCCGTACTAATGATAATTTAATAAACATGAACAGACAACACTTAAGCTGCTTTTGCCCGTTCTGGCCTCGTGCGTAGCGCTAGTGCCCCTGTATTATGCCATCGAACTTTGATAATGATATAAACTGAAGCGTTTTAGAAATCATAATGGTAATTTAATTAAAATATTTAAAAAAAACGATGCGTCGGTTTAAAATGTAGATGTCGACGCGTAATCGACTACGTCGACTAATCGCGGCAGTCCTACTGTTTAAAATGTACTACAAATTAAGCAAGTTGGTCTTTTCTGATTTCAAGTTGGGTCATTATAATTTAGCATATTTAATAAGCTAGAAAATACGTTCAATGTTAGGGAAGAAATAAAAAATATGTTATGTAGCCATTTCTTTTTCTGCACTTTAAGTTTAATATAAAATGAGCTTGTATTAATAGTGGAGATTTATTTTCAAATGATAGAAGAAATACAGTTTCTATCAGTGTCCATGTAGCTTTATTTATGTAAATGAAAGAACGACAAGCATTGTAAGAGGGGACAGGGTGCAAAGGAGGGATTGATGGCTGCAAATCAATACTGCATTAGGAGGAGCTGGAAGAGTAACCAGACTCCCTGCCTGAAATAGCCGGCTGGATGTAAGCAGGCCCATTTGTACGCGGGAAGGAGCCCAAAGCGAAGGGCAAGACGGCCTTCTCTCTGCACGTGCCGTTAATGCATCGGCCGCTTATCATTTCATATCACAGATATTCTTAATTAACGGGGACTGTGCTGGATCACACTGGATTTTTGAACACCATCAGTCAGGGTCTTGTTGGGGGTTAGGCCTTGAGGGGAAAGGCACACAGAGCACCACGCAACTGCACCAGGTCTTACCTTGCAATTTTTTCAATAGGAAAGTAAACCTGTCCTAAAACAGTCCACTTTCATTCAGAGGAGAATTTGATGCATAAATTTCTCCTGCAGTCATTTGAACTCTCTTACCTTACTCTCAAACCTTTGCAAATGCAAGCTACAGACTACAACAATCAACTACAAACAACTTCCTGCCAGATAATAAAAGTATTCTGATTCTGATTCAAATGGACTGAGAAAATTTCAGAACTTTAATCTTCCTCTGAATTGTGCTTCTTTCTTAAAAACCACGTGGTAAAGGATCCAGGGCATAAAAATAAAAGCCGTTTTAGCAGTAGGAACAGTAATATTCTCCTTATCAAAAAGAAAGGCTCTTCCAATTGCTTACGTTATAAATAATTTATGGATAGCTCCGTTTCCACCACAGTAGATATTAATAATTAGTGTGATGTGTTACTGATCACTATAAACAAAGATATTTGATCTTCTCATGTTTGAATCTCTGCCTTTAGGGCCATTTTTCCCAGTAGACCATATTTTTTTGTTGAAGCTGCTGTGAATCTGCATGTTTAATCTAAGATGTTCACTGCAATGGCATCACTGGCAGTGACTCCTGTGTGCTTGCAGAAATTCATGGAGTTTGAAGATGCCTTGGAGGCGGAAAAGAAGGAGCTTCAGCTGCAGGTGGAGGTTCTGGAGCTGCAGGGGAAGCAGCTTGAGCACAGGACCAAAAGCTACTCGGACCAGAGTGAGTGCGACGCACAATTAGCCTGGCTCACTGCTGCCTGATGTTCCTCTGTGATTTTGAAAATTGTTCCTCTCTGTTTGAAATAAACTCAAAAGAATCCCACAGTGGAACCAGAGATCGTCAGCAGTAGTGAATAAGAATGATGTGTCCAGTTTGTTCTGTCATTCCTACGCTGGAATGGAAAACATCTGGAATATTTTAGTGGAAATACAATTAATAATCAGATGCTGCGTTGCATGTACAGCAAGGGCACCGAGTCCTTTGACTCAACTTGAGACATCTGACGGGGTTACTCCTGTGATGCTACACACCGAGTAACAGCGTTTATTACAGTGTTTGCGCCCTGCAAAGTGCAAAACTCATTGGTCGCTTTGAGGTTTGGATGTGACTGTTCTCCTGTCCCACCAGTATCTCGCCTGGAGGAGCGGGAATCAGACATGAAGAAAGAGTACAACGCTCTTCACCAGAGGCACACAGAGGTACTGACTCTCTCACTTGGGTCTTTGTGCTGCCATACTGGTATACAGTATCCCAGTTAAGTGTCAGTCTCTCCAGCAAAGTCTCCTTGTACTAGGTAATGGATTGGTGTACCTTCTCACTCTCAGGGAACTGGGAGCCTTTTAGGTGCAATATCTAATAAAAAATGTTCAGTGACTCCATCGATCTTGGGCCAAGGCCACATCATGGTTTTTATATGTCGAAAGTTTTGGGGTGCTTGGTTAATTTTGTAAAAATAAAAACTATATAAATAAAAAGTAAATATTGTTAATTTGTCGGTTTTATAACAAAAATCATTACTTTATTCATTCATTTTTCACCAAAAACATATTTATCACATTAGAAACAAGCAGTAGTTTTATGTAAATCATTAATTTCAAATAGTAATAAATTACCCAAATTACAGTTCTAAAAGAGCTGTTCTGAGTTAAAAAGTTGACAGGCAGTGTTGTTGCGTGCTTTTTAATTAGTAACACCTTCACAATGAAATAAAACACCAAACATTTTGGTTTAGTACCCCTTTGGAAGCCAATCACTACAATTGCAAAATGGTAACAACGGAACTGAATGAGTCGGTCAAAAAACAAAACAAAAAAAAAACAAAGAAAATGTCGGCAATGTGCGGCAGATGTGTGCGAATATGTTAAACATTGCTTCTGAATGGACGTTTGTTATGAAACCAACAAATGTGCAACAGAATTAAGCAAGCGTCCCCAAACTTTCTGTGACAAAGTGTAAAGCACAATAGCAGAATTATTTGAAACGTTCCCAGAATACTGTGCACAATGGATCAGTAGGGACTGGTGTCGTGTTAAGTGTACGGGGTATATCTGATGTGCTCATATGTCACATGGAAGCTGCTTAGAGTATTAAATGCTAATTTAATAGTGATTACACAGAAATTCAGAAAAAATTAGAGGCACATGTTGTAAAATGTATAAACAAATGCAGCATGTATGGTATATGCATGTAATGCTGATAATAAGACACTGAAGTGTTGGTATCCTGTGCTCCTCAGATGATCCAGACCTACGTGGAACACATCGAAAGGTCTAAGATGCAGCCGGTGGGGGCTCCACAGTCAGAGAGTATTGGAAGAACGTGAGCCTGGCTTTTCTCATTCGCTGGTCTTTGACCGTGTGTGGAGTGTGGATAGTAGCAGCAGGGAGGGAGCGGGAGCTAGAGGACAGGCAGCCTCTCGCCGTGGCAGCACTATGAGATGACAGACATTGTGCGCAGGGCACAGCAGTTTTATGCATATATTTAAGCATGCTGATGCACTGATGGTGAACCTTTCCCCATTAATTGACCATTAGTCATTCCTTTTCCAGTCTCCCAGCATTGTGCTGAGTCACAACGTGGTGAGATGCTTCAGAATCCTCCGACAGGGGTTTTTGAAAAGATCGGCCATGCAAAATGTCACTATCCCTCAGCAGCGCCCCCTCCGCCACCCCAAGTCCCTGTTCCTGTGTGTATGAGCCCCCCAGGTCCCAACAATAAAGGGTGCTTCCGTTGTGCTCAGGTGTAGAATATTTCTGGTTCATAACTCCAGGGAGCTATGCAGCCCATTAAGGCAATGGAGGAAGGATTTTTCTTAGCACAGGGATGACAATGTAATGTGTATGGAATATAGTGCTGTACCTGTAAAGTCTGTTTGCCCCTGCAGTCTCTAGTTCAGTGTATCTGGCTGACTGGACCCTCTTAATCTGACTTAACCCTACCTGTCCTTCTTTAGTTTTAAACGGTCTCCTTCTATTCATACATCCATATATCCATCTTCCAGCCACTTATCCTGGTCAGGGTCTTGGGGGAACCTGGAGCCTGTCCCAGGCAGCATAGGGTATAAGGCTGGGGTACACACTGGATTAGATGCCAGTCTATCATGGGGCATGAGGCTGGGGTACACACTGGATTAGATGCCAGTCTATCATGGGGCATGAGGCTGGGGTACACACTGGGTTTCGTTCTAGTATCGTTCTAATTTTTG